GCCGGCGACGCCCGATGTCCTCATCACTCCGGAGCCGACCCGAATAGGGAACAGAGGCATTTCTCCGCGTGTCAATACTCTTTCCATCTATTCTCCATTCCGTTGTGTACACAATAAACTCTTCCTTCTACTCTGGCTTTCCCAAGACTTCTCCCACCTCCTAAGGGACCGGGCCTGGAAGATTGAAGGTGTGAGGGTTAAACCTTCATAGCCTTAACTCCTATAACTGGTGACCCCGACGTGATCTGAACACGCAACCTTCTGATAAAACTTCGTGTCAACTAAGACCCACAATTTTTCTAGTTTACTCACAGGATCAAATTCAATCTAGTTATACTCAGCAATAGTAGATTCCTAGCATTTTTGCAGAACTGCGTTTGTATGTCTGAACTTCTAAAAAAATTGTTTGACTCATCCAGTCAGCTTTTTGACAGTGCCAAACGCATTAAATTATGTGCCTGTCAGTTTGTCGAATCGCTGATATTCCTATGCTTCTTCTTGATTTACACGTCATCCATAATGACACAGGCTTTGGAAAAAAAGTTACTCATGTTCAGAACAGTCCTCTCCAGTACAGTATTTGTCTGCTTTCTTTGCATTCAAAACTAACAATCTTATTCAGCGCTCAGCAATCTGAATTAACAATAAATCTCGGCAAAAACTCTACCAGTAAATGTTCACAAATTATGAAATGGCGAAAAATTTTCTAAGATGTAATTGAACTGTGACCCGCCTAGGCAGTACTAAAATACAGTCAATTCCAGCCCATTCGTTATATTAACCAAATGACTCACGACCAACCCGGTAGATGAGGTAGCGTCAGCCGCTGGCTCTCAGCAACCAACACTCAAAATTCTTTACCGAAAACCTCTGCATATACTTTAGCATGTGCTTAATAAGCAAACGCCCCCTGATTAAAAACAGATACAGAGCAGTGATTCGACTCCGTTCTGCCATGTGACGTATTTGCCGAAAGACACTCTTTGATCGTTCTCTATAAAGAAAATTGACGAATAGCGGCCAGCCACTCCAATAGAGACCTTCTATGGGTGTGTATCTTTAAAGACTGTCATCATCTAAGCCAAACACACTCAACATTTTGTGCAAACGTCTTCAGAATCGTGCAGCGGTCTAACACGGGTCAAACACTCTGCCACCGCCTCAATCGCGATAACCTGCACTTTTCGGTGAAGCAAGCTCATAATCAACAAACGGATTTCACTCGCTTGTGAAAGATATCAACCTCGGAAATAAAACATGCCCAAAAAACTGAAAACTTCTGTAAGATGTTTGGCCGATTCGCAACCTCTGTTAGTGAAGTCCGCTACCGGGGCTTACGTTGAAAGTATCGTGCAGAGCCTGTGTAAAGAAGGATATGGAGTTGGAGACAATACCTACCAGGCCACTTTTTCAGGCAACTCGGGGAAGTTTAATCCCACAACGAAACAAACGCCAAAGCTGACGGAGCTTAAATGGAAGAAGGTGGAGCAGTTTAAAATTGTATCGAGGGATCAAGACTGTGTTTTCATTGTTCACAATACGAATAAGTACATGATCCTGCGGATGGATAACGCGGGCGAGGCGAAGAAGCTACAGGCCCTTGTCCTAAAAGCCAACCCCAATGTGCAGTTAATCGAAGATAGAGGCGATGGAGAGACCAGTGATGACATTGGTTCAGTAGCACCGGCGAAAGTAGATAAAACCAAACAGGAAACGAAGAGCAACGAGGTCTCCCCTCCCAAGGACCACTCAAGTAGTGCTCCAAAGAGTCTCCCAAGGAGTGTCCCAAAGAGTGGCCCTAGTAGTCATCGGCAACCTGCAAAGAGTTATAATGAATTTCCCCGTTCCCGTTACGAAGAAACAAAGGGCAACGAAAATACTAGTGAGCTCTCGTTTTCCGAGGAGTACCAACATAGTGCTCCAAGAAGGGGCCCAAGGAGTCTCCCAAGGAGTATCCCAAAGAGTGCCCAAAGTAGTCATCGGCCACCGTCACAGAGTCGTAAGGAACCTCCGCGTTCCCGAGCAATGAAAACTAGTACGGTTCAATGGGATGGGTATCGAACTTGGCGGGGACGTTCCCAAATGCCTTCCAGGGTTGAGGAAGATGGTCTGATGCCAAGATGTTATTACCAATACAAACCGAGAGCGTCTTCAGAGACAAGGGGAAGAAGAGGACAAGGTGATAGAACCTACGATCATTGGCGTAGGTCGCCGAGTCCATATGCTCGGGACTGGTCACCTCCGCGTTCGCGATACGACTCGAATATCCATGTGGAATCATACAGCCCTGTAGATGAAGACTCCTTCAGCTCTTCTCGCTCATCATCCCCAGGATCTATGCAGCTGGGAAGGATTACGTGTACTCCCGTGCCTAAGGGACGCCAAACATGGTACAAGCCCGACATTTACTACCATAATAAAATGCCTAAGGTAGTACGTGAGGGGACAACCTACGCAGAGTACGCGGAATCTGACGACAGTACAAGAACTCCGTCAGAGCGAACAATAAGAATCATGGAACTGATAGGACAGAAGGAAACTCCCAAACATCGGAACAGTCGTGTGTAGCACATGCTTTATTGTTTCCATTGCAATTGCAACCATGTGAACAATACTCTTTTTTAAACATACTCTGTTTTTCTGATAAATGGTTGTGAGTATCGCACACTTTCCTCTCTTTTTCTTCTTGTTTTCTGAATGTTGTGTTTACTATAAACGCGGTTTAAGGAAAAACCCCAAAATATTTTGAAGAAAATGTCACCTAAATCAGTCAGACTAATCGCAATTTACCTTCACAAAAAAGGTAATGAAAACTGGTATATCGACCTCTTCTGTAATATATTTTGCGAACGAGATTACGGCTGTTAGGTTGTGCTGAAACCCAAAGGTTAAAAAACCTAGGCCTATAATGCGAAATCGAACATAACGAAGATGCAACGGCATTTTATCTGAATTAACACATCCGTTTGCATAGGCCTCTAAGATAAAGTGAATTAAACGTAGTTTTGGGCCTGATTACTTAGGCCCTAGGACAAACGCTGGCCAATTTTAGAAACAG